ATCTCGAACAAATGCCTCGAATCCAACGTAACAAAGTGATAATAGAATTTATCTGAAACTGGTCACTAGGGGTCTAATGAATGGAGTGAAATACAAATTTCGACATGCTTAAAAGTGACCACTTTTCGCGAGGAATTACTTGAAATGACAAGCATCTTCGGTTATTTGCAATGTCCTTCTGATTACATTTGGGCATTTTGCAGATATTTATCTTTTATCTGTCATACAACAAAGGCTTATTCTGAATAAAGCCCTTCGATTCTCCTTAACTCGACCTTTTATGCTTTAACTTCGACTTCAATTTGACTCGATTTGCCATCGATCCTCGGTCTCTTCTTTACCTTCCCTTCCCCTCTTCCCTCCACTCCGACATCCCTCTGCTTTTCCTCATTTATTCCCTTGATGATGCTGTCACGGCTTCCAGCTGTCCACTAGAAGTAACAGCGTTATCTCGTGGGGCGAGGGAAATTCGCACTTTATCACTTCAGCACTTATACTTTTGTCGGGTCGACTATGAATGACGTATCTTGGCTGTATGTCAGTTGGGTATACCTTTAGCCGTCCCTGGTAAATGGTGCATAATATCAACTACCACTTGCACACTTACACATGCATGATTATATATATATATATATATATACCTATTGTTTAATTAACCCCGAGTATTGAAAGGTTAAATAATAAGATGAGCAATGTTATATATGTATATATATAAATATGAATAAATATATAAATAAATAAATAAAAATAAAAATAAAAATATATATATGGGCATTAAAGGTAGGCTTTACTAATTTTTATTTTTTCGCTTAAGACTCCGTTGCCCTGTTGCCTCGAAACCGCTGATCCTCTATTCTGTTAGGAAGTTTCAACATTTGGTTTGCAACTTTCTTTCTACTTTGGTAGTTCTGGGTTCTTAAAATGCTTATTGTCTTGTCTTCGATCGCAATCTACTACAATTATTACAATGTTTTTATTTCACATCTAACTTTTTATCAGGCGACCTGCTGCCAGCCGACGGTGTTATCATCCAAAGTAATGACCTGAAGATCGATGAGAGTTCTCTGACCGGCGAATCAGACCACGTAAAGAAGGGCGAAACCAAGGATCCCCTACTACTTTCAGGTTTGGGAAGGTCTTTTTACTCCTTTGCCTTATATTTCTTAACCCTATTTCTTGAGCATAACTTTTATCTTCAGCTTATTCTTATTTTTGAAGATATGAAGACCAAGAGGGTATAACCCCCGGTATGGTCGCAGTGTCGTTTCGATTTGTAGAAGTGGGTTGACCTCGTTTTCGCATCTTGGTCTTGGTGTCAGGGCGAATTTGTAGAACACACCTTGTCTGAAGTCCTCTGCCTTAGTGGTTATCATAATTCCCATCATCAGACCGTGAACTTGGTGCAATCTCAGAGAATGGTACATCTGAGAATGTACCAAGTCCTCTGTCTGATGCTGAGAATTATGATAACTACTATGGCGGAAGACTTCTGACAAGTTGTGGAAAGAGGTCAACCAGCTACTTGTTCTTATTTTATTGTATTTTATTTGCTATTTTTTAATGATTGACCAGAACCTTTTAGCGAAAACAACTTTGGAGCATAAAGTTTTTCATTCGCAATTGTTACATTGCTGACGTTGACAATTTTAACAAATCAAATTCGTATGCATACGTTCTCTTTCTTTGCATGCGAAAGCTAAATGTATCTGATTTTGTATCGGGCACCGGCTTCATCTGGACGAGAGCATTCCAAGGTCGTAAATGTGTCGATCAAGCTGGCCTCTTGCCCGTTTGGGCTAGATGAGTTTCGAAAGTGTGGGGAAGCGGAAGACATTCCAGATCCTTTCTACCTTGACTGCACCTGATAAATCCGATGGTGAAGAGTTTGGTTTGCTTAACATAGCCTTCTAATTAGGCCTAACGTGACTAAGGCCAGGGCCAAGACCTAGTTATGCACCGCTTGTAACCGGCCGACATCTTAGATCTATTACCCCACCACCTCACCTCTGTACCATAGAGATCCGGGCCTATCCGTTCAGTAGTGACGGAACTTCAAAGCTGTAAAATTGAGTTCAGGTCTTGATTTGTAGTCGGGCAGGCGGCATTAAACGATACAAAAAGGTCTAAATTGTTTTTTCCTCCACCAGATAAACACAATTGTATGCATAATTTTTTTTATCTACCTGAATGCACCCCTTTTTACGAGGCTCGGTGGCTTGACTTAAAATATGTTGGTGTAAGGACGATTGAACTTCGTCTTAGACGTATGCATGCATTCTGAGTCGAGACATTTGGGATTTTTGACTTGCGTCTATCTCGAAACCGATTAACAGCTTTTAGGAAGCATTTTAATCCAGCAGACAGAATGTCAAAAATTTCAGTTTCACCTATTCTATTTGGAAATGAGAGGTGTTATAATTATTTCTCGTATTTCTGCTTCCCCCTCTTGGGACTTGATAACGTCGCCTAGGCAATGTCATCCTAATTATGTGAATCTTACTGATATTCCATTAGTGATTACCATTAGTATTGCTCACATAATACTATCTCCTTATCTTTGTTTATCTCTCTTTTGAACACGCTTCATATGCATTTTAAAGGTTCTGGTTTTCAGAACTAGCCAAGCACTTACTGTTTGGTAAAGCCGCTGCCAGGATCGAATCGCACACTTTCGTTCATGCCTTAGCTATGGAAGCGCTTTCTCCATAGATTTCGGCTTTTTGGATGTTCATATACTCTGTGGTGACTTGGCATTGGAAACGCCCTATTTTCGTCAAATGGCTCCTACCAATTAAGCCGCATGCTCTATTTGTGTCGTTTCGTGCCCCAAAGTAACCGACTTAACTTTATCAGGTGTCTTCGGCAGCATTTTTCCGCTATTTTTTTGTACTAAACTAAACTTTGAATGTATCGCTATTTCTTCCCTGCAGTTTGACAGACATTTGGTCGAAAAGTTTGTACAATTACTATTGGCATTTATCATTGCAAGCAGCAATGCCAACGCCTGATAGGCCACGTTCATTATGTGCGGTCTCATGCCATGTTAGGAATCTGCACATGTTTGCTTGCAGATCTCAAGCCCATACTTGTGCTTGTCTTTATTAAATTTCAAGCTTTTTCCATATGAACCTTACAATATAGGAGCTCTACTGAGAATTGTATATACTAATTTGTTTTTATTCTTTTGAAAGTCTATGCATGACTTAACTTGCTTTGCTAGTCTTATTGGAACGGTTGATCTGCATTTTTGTCGAGACTACATGCTCATCCGTATATTCTTTTTTAGTTATTAAGTTTTCTGTTGACCTCAGTTGCCGAACAAATAGACTTCATATTTAGTCACTAGTTCTAAATATTTCTTAGCAGCATGCTTGTTCTCTTAATTCAGCTATTTACTGACCATTTAACGAAAACCTTTTCTTAAAAGGTCTGTTTATCTTAAGGCCTTCTTTTTTTGACACATCACTCTGATACATCATCGTGATATCATCCGGATTGTTCTCCAAATATTTAAATACAATTTGTATTCTAGAGTCCTTAGTTTATTTTTAGGACTGCCCAGCAGATACTTTTTCTGCGGCATACCTCGCCTACACCGAAATGAATTAATTTTATAGATTGTATTATTTGCCGAGACTTACTTTTTCACTGAAATGAATATTTACTTGTTCCGGAACACGTTTCACCATTCAATTATTCAATAACATATTTAATAAATAGCTTTCGAAAATATCATTACGTATTTTATAGGAACTCCAATAGCCTCAGTTTGTTTTGTGTGATTTAAGGACTTTCTTTTTTAATTCTCATCTGGGCACACCACACAGAACGACGATGTTCTTTATTAGAAGCCTTTGCTATTTTCCTTATAATATCTCACAGTATCGATCTCTCAATTTTTGGCCATTTACTGCTAACATTCCTATTAAAATTCATTGTTAATATCAAAATATTCTTTTAAATGTACTCATATATTTAATTCTTGCTACTTTTTCTTTCAAGTCATCGGACAGCAGTGAGGACACAATAGGCTAGGATAGTCGACCACTTATCTCCTTATAGAGATTTTGGTTTTCTTGCTTGTTAGAGATATCTGTTGACTGTTGATTACTTTGGCGTTGCTAGGGCGCAGCCAATCGGTAAAGTGTATCATTGTTTCCCTACCATATGAATTTAAGCATCGGTTCTGGTGCCTACAATGTTTTATTCACACTAAGCCCTGCGCATTCTGGCCTAATTGTGCCTATTGTTTGCTTTACTTCTCTTCATGAAGATAATATTCATTT